CATCAGGGAGCCCAAGGTAGGAACTCAGGGCAGGAACCTGGAGGCAGGAGCTGGAGCACAGGCCATGGAGGAAGGCTGCTTATAGGCATGCTCCCTTGGCTCCTGCTCAGCCTGCTTTCTTATGCAACACAGGCCCACCTGCCCAGGGGTGGCACTACCCACAGTGGGCTGGGCCCTCCCACATCACTCATCAAGAAGATGCCCCTCAGACATGGCCACAGGCCAGTCCAATAGAGGCAATTCCCCGATTGAGGCTCCCTCAACCCAGGTGTGTCAAGTTGACACTAAAGCTATCCAGCACAACTGCAAAAAATGCTCTAGCTAAGTATAGCCTATGAAATAAATTCACAAGACAGAACCAGAGCACTAATTTGGGTCCTAACCATATTACTAATTTTATAGTCATTTAAGCAAATAAATGCTTCAAAACACCCTTGGAAAACAGCCTAATCTGATTTTTTTCAATTGACCATTTGAGATCTGGATATAGAGGTTTGAGTATTCATCTCTGACACTGAGCAGAGCAGTTAGGGTAGAGAGAGGAGAGGGAATTTTCCTCTTATCTCAACCCAAGCATTTTAAACAATGGACAATTATCTATGTGATACAGTTACCATGGTATGTAAGCTACAAAGTCCATTCCAATTCATTTTCTTGTTTAAAACGGGTGGAAGTGGGGAGACTGCCAACGAGCACAGTAGTTTTACATAAATCCTTTAATTCCAGAGAATTGTTTGAGATCAGGCAGAACAATACAAGTTTCATTTTGTGCCTTTTACATTTCAATTGACAAGAAATAATCACGTTTAATGCAGAGACAATATCTTGTTTTTCATGGCACTGTTAGTGGTGATTTGAATGTTGGAGTGTTTGTGCCCTCTTCATTGAACAACAGCCATGAGAAAGACATACAGCAGCCCAGTCCAGAAAGGCCAGCTCAAATGGGCCATAGGGTACAGGCAGACCTAAAACAGAAATGTTTATACTGCATTGTGCACTGTTGTCAACGTAACAACACAGCTCTCACCTCAAAAGGAGTAAGAGGAAGTTTGCTGTGGAGACAAATGTGAATGACTAGGGCAGAGGGACACAGATTTAGGTTACTCCCAATACCATGTTCCAATAAGGTAACAATTTCATGAAGTTTTTAGAGTAGCAGAACAAAGTCATAAATCAAAACACTCTTCAGTTAGGTTGGTGGGGATATCACTTACAGCAAAGTGGGAAAGTTTCTGCTACAGCCCTCAGATGCTATTTGAAGACATCCTTAGCCTCTGGATAGATAGAAACTAGGCGTCTGTTATACATTCCAAATGGATTTACCTAAGTCACAGGATGTTAGATTACACACAGAAGTGGGCAATAGACAGGTATTTAAAAGGCTCTGGACTAGGAACATTCCAACCTCTCCACAATCGTGTAGCTGTAATCAGTCAATCAGCCTTGTAGAATGTTTAGTAGGTGTTACTTCCTTTCAGAACTTGAGTTGACACTATTGAGGTGGTGAACTTGTTATATATCATTACTGTATAACTTAATTAATTAGGAATTAATTACTGTTGAAACATGAACAAAATTGACCTCTACTTTATCCTATCACTTTTGGTACAGTGACTGACTCAGTTACTCAGGCCTGAGTCAATCAGCTCAGAGTCTTCTCTCACCATAGGGACTTGTCCAAACATGGTCCAATCATTGCAAAGCAGAGGACACAAATAAGGTGAACCTGACTTGATTTGGAGCTGTCCCTGTACAAATTAGACTCTAGCAAGGAGAAAATGAAATCACTGAACCCCTGTACCAAATAACCCCAAAGCCCATACACCTCTGAGACTCCCAGGAAAATGAAAGGTTTAAATTGGTCTTCTGTTACTTATAACCAAAAATGTCATAAATAATGCATGTCCATCAGTAAATGGAAAGTATCTGTAGTTTCAAAATGGTATTTGATTTCCTACATTTCCTGGAAATTGGAGGCTCAGCCCACAACTCCCTGATGTGGCATGCATAATACAGGTAGACGGCCCTACTTCGGCAAAAATTATTTTGCTTTCATATTTGAAGTAGAATGCAACTCCTGAGTTTATCCTTAACTTGGAAGTTTGAGCTAAGAAAGTCCAGTTATTATGGCCGCTTCCTTGAATGGAGATTAGACAGTAATGGCCCAGAAAGCAATCAGAACATGAATTAGATCTGACACCAGGTTGAGGGGCCCAACATCAAAGAGGCAGTCAACACCTTAATACCCAATAGTCAATAAATGGCTCAGTAGACAGTAAGAATGAACACTTACGGCCTCCACAGGGCTAACCTTAAGAGGCCAACTTCTCCATCTTGTGTGTCATTTTTTTTTAAAGCCGATAAGGGGCTGGGGAGATGGCATTGTGGGTAAAGCACTTACCACACAAGAGTGAGGACCTGAGTTTGGATCCCCAGATCCTATATAAAGGCAGACATGGCCTGTAACCTCATGGCTCCTACCATGAAATGGGAGGCAGAGACAGGAGACTCCTTGAAGCTGGGGGGTACGGGGCTAGCTTGGTCTATGTGGTAAAAAACAGATCCTGTCTCAAACAAGGTGAAAGGTGATGGCTGACACCTAAGGCTTCTGACCTTCACATACGTGTTGTGGCATGTGCGTGCGTGTGTGTGCGTGGGTGCGTGCATGCACGCGCACACACACACACGCACACACACACACAAAGGGGGCCACTGGGGAGTAATAAATATGACACACTTCCACCTACATTTTGGCCTGAGAAAAGAAGTTGGGGCTCCCCCTCTAGCCAGCAGAGTTCTCTTTCCAGCCAACTAATCCAAACCAGTTCAGAGAAGATGAAGGCTGGACCTGGACACCTCTTCATTTGAAGCCATAAACCTATCAGCCTTTTTTTCTTTAAGTTGACCAATCCAAATATAGGGGAAGGGAAACCACTAAAGCCATTAAAACCCAGGTCCTCTCAGGGGATGTTGGAGTCTAGATTTCTGAAGTCCCCTCTGCTTGTGAGGAGCTTTGTCTTTCTATATGAGTGTGCATACGATATGTGTATATATATCTGCATATGATTATCTCTCAATAAAAGCTTGTTTGCCTCTTGTTCTCTGCTGCACTGAGTCTTTTCCTGCCTTTTAATTCTTTAATTGACTGAGAAAATGAACCCAACTGTAACCCCTAGACTGACAGTGCCAACCACAAAAGAAGGTTTCCTTCTCTTGAGCAGAAATTAAATAAGATACAGTGAGGAGCCTAAATGTCAATTAAAAATATATGTGAGGCAGGAACAACGGGGTGATTCTAGTCCTGTTTGCTGGTCTGTCTTTTGAAAGCCCACAATGCTATGGCTAGAAGGGTAAGGTTAAGATTGTACATGACAGTGGATATGGGACAGAGCTAGGAGGTTTTCAACTATGTGGAGGGATCCTGAAAAGTCTTCTACTCTTCCAGTGGATGTTTGTCAGTGAAGATGTAAATAAGTAAAATCTGCTATAAATAATTTATATGTTAGAGTATGGGGTGAAATGCCTAAACTTAATTTTTCACCCCTCTCTGTACCCATTCTCACCACTCATCCCCAGAGGCAGGGCACACTTCAGACTCCTTGGCTTGGGTTCCATTGGCTTTGGTCGATGGCTTGGTAGCAGATTTAACATGACCGAAGGCTGGAGAAGCACCTGTGCTTTGCATCTTGCTCCTCTGCTGTGGCCAAGAGAACACCTTGATCTAGTTTTCCGGCTCGATAAGGAGACTGAGAAACACGCAGAGCAGAGTTAGCCCAGCCCAGAACCGCTCTCTGCTTCAGCTTTTAACTCCTGAACTGTCATACTTTTTTCCTACTTACTGAGTTGCTTTCCAGATCTTTCTTCATACATGAGTGACACTAGTTTAATACCTGTGTATTCAATATGTAGCTATAAGGGAATTGTGGCATGTCTGAGGTTTTAAAGCATGGTTTTCATACAGTTAGTTACAACATATGTTCTTACAGGCCTCACCCATCCACTATAACCAGTGCACACAATTCTTACACTGGCAAACCTGGTCAATGATTTACTAATTCATTTCTCTTAAAGTGATACCACAAAATCAAAGCACTCTCTCACCTCACCAATGTTAGTTTTAAAAGCTCCAGATAGATGATCTATAAAAATATTTATGGTGCTGGAGAGATGGCTCAGCAGTTAAGAGTATTTCTCACTCTTGGAGAGGACCTGGGTTCAGTTCCCGGCACCCATTTTTGGAGAGGACCTGGGTTCAGTTCCTGGCACCCATATGGCAAGTAACAACTGTCTATAATTCCAGTTCCAGGGGATCTGATGCCTCTTATGGCCTTTGTGGGCATTACAGGACATGGCTGCACTTACACACATGCAAGCAAAACACTCATACACACAAAATAAAAACAAATTATCTTGGTTCTGGTATCAGGCACAATTAAAACAACAGTCATAGAAGCTCTATTTTGCTAAAGGACATAAAATATTCACAATAAGAAAATGAATGATAGAATCTCAACCATCAGCCAACAGGTGGAAGCAAACGAGGGAGGCATCCCTGGGACCATCCTGAGGTTATCTTATAATAGTAAAACTGGTCTCTTAAGTTTGAATCTCACATTGGATGAGCTTATCTGTGCTGTGCCAGGCATTTGAGGATTAGGAAGTGTAATGACAAAAAATTGCTAGGAAACTTCTAGGCAACCTTGTGAGTTCAATGTAGATTTAGAATTAACAAGCATTTTGATTGGGTGGTATAAGGGGAAGTGGAGTTTGTTATTTTGTTTTGTTTAGCATTAGAGGAAAATTTAAGATAATTTATCTAATCCCTTCATTTTTTCAAATTATTTTTTCAAACAAATGTTTATTGAATTCTTCCTAGGTTCTAGGGCACTGTGGTTTGAATATGGAATGTCTCCCCACAAGTTCAGGTGTCTCGACACTTAGCTGGTGGATCTAATTTAGAAGGTTATGGAACCTTTAAGGGGTGGAGCCTCGCTGAAGGAAGTGGATTACTAGGGGGTAAGATTTTATAGCCCAGTGGGGTTTTATAGCCTCCACTTCCTAGCCACTCTCTGCTTCCTATGGATGCAGTGTGACCACCCCACCTTCCTGCCACCAGGCCTTCCTTGCTATGATGCCTGCATCTCTTTCTAAACCACGAACCAAAATAAACCCTCCCTTCCTTTAGGTCCTTTTGTCAGGTATTTCATCACAGAAAGAAGAAAAAGGAACTAATACATGGGATCTGAGATAAATAATAGAAAATACAGGGCACTAGAGATGTTTACCGAAGGTGTGAAGACCAAGACCCAGAACGTCATTCAAGGCCCCATAACCCCTAGGCTTATAGGGCTTATGAAAGAGGCTAGACTTCTGGCTCAGTGGCACAGTATGAAAAACCTTTTGGGAAAAAAATGTCATAGTGTTGCTAAAATTTCTTCTTGGGGCATGTGAATAACATCCACTCCCTTGGTCCCAAGGACAAACCCAGGAATGATTCCACCAAGATGCACTCTGGGAAACCAAAGAGTTTACTGGGTTTATTTACAGAGCAGTGGGTGATTTACTTACAAGAGTGCGGTGCTTCCCCTCTCCAAGGCCACACAAGAAAGTCTTCACCCAAGCATGGACGACGGCTTCCCCATAACCTCATAAAATGGAGAGAGACCCTCCCTTTGTCTTCCTCAGTCTAGGTACAGCCCTTCCCCTGGTCATGTGCAATTAAGACCAAATTGCTCATCATGACTTGGGAGATGTGGCGAGATACTCAGGTGAGGGTCCCATGACCCTCCCTGTGCTTCCTATGGGAAGGGGGCATGAACAGTCAACTAGACCAAGGGTGAGTTCAGGCATAGATGAGCTCAGGAAGATGTTGGCATCTGTCCAACTTGGAGAACAATCCTGTATAAAACATAAGAATTAATATTCAAATCATCTTCCCTATGGAAGTTGGTTTAATGTCCAGAGAAGCAAAGACTTCTCATGAGGGATATTTCCAACAAGCATTTTACTGAGTAATTATTAAGTCTATTTTATGAGCATCATAACAGATATACATGGGGACATACAGGTGTGTTCTAGTAGGGGTAAAGGCAATTTGAAAACAGAATCTTGGGTAATCAATATGTTCTATTGCAGAGGCATGCTTAGGTTTCCAATGCAGCCAGGTGGGGGTGGGAGTATGCATGAAAGATACCCCAAAAGGTGATGAGTGTTGGAAGATAAGTGGACATTAAAAGGCTTAGGAAAAGTGGGACTTTTCAGTAACGGAGAGTATATGGGCGGGGCTTAAGTGTAACTGACAAGTAAATGGATCAAGGTCGCCAACACCTTTGGAGACCACATATCCATTTCCAAACATTCAGCTGCTTTGTTCCCAGAAGTTGGAACACCCTGACAGACTACAGATCCTAGTTTTGGAACTGAGGCCATGAAGCCAATATTTGAACAGATATTAAAGTACAAGATGTTAAAGTCTTTTGAGTGATTCGGGTGGTTAAATTATTCTACGCAAAATCATTTATTCCAATTGAAAAATCAAAAGCAATATTAACTCTGTCTATAAACAAGAGATCCAGGCCTAAAATCTTTTAGGGATTAGATACAAGCTCCCAAATACTTTTAATGTTTTTGGCCTTGGAACAGAGTATGTCGCTAAGAGGCCCAAGGACATTTTGACTTTTAGCCAAGAAAGTGGCTACATTTCTTTGGGGTCTTTCTACCCTAACTGCCTAGTCAATTCCTACCTCCTATTCTTATCATGCCATCCTCTGAAGAGGAATTGGGAATAGGGAATTGGGATGCAGACCGCTCTGGCTTCTTCCATGCTGAACAGGGATGCAGGGCGAGGCAATTATAGTACCCCATCTTCTGTACTTAGAGTTGTATCTTAGAGTTGACGCTGTCCTTCCTTGTCTCCTCTGAAGCTTATTCCTTCCTCTAACATTTGATGTTGTCATTGATTATTTTCATTTCAATTATTTCAGTTCCATCAAATTTGTGATAGGGAAATGGAGCTGTGAAATATTTTTCTAACATTCTGAAGAAAAGCTCTAGAAAGCATTCAGAGGGAGGCATGGTGGGACATAAAGGCTGATTAAGTTTGTGTCATTATTCCAAAGATGTCTGAAGATTTGGGCCTGAGCTTCTATCTATTTCTCCTCCTAATATTTTTTGGCAACATTTTGAAAAAGTTGGGACCAGGGAAGACAGGAAAGCCATCTTCATCCCTCTTCCTATATTGCCCATGATCCTCTGCGCTCCCATTACTGTGGAGACTTGTACACTTGTTCATGGCAGGTGTTTAGTTGCTATGTGCCATCTTACTGAGTGTGACCCTCCCTCCAGGCCAAACCCTTTCTCAAGGACCAGAAGGAGATAATTCTGGATTAGCTTCCCTAGCTATAGCTGGATCTAAAATTGTATACTACAACTCAAATGTGAAATATAATGTCCATTTCTCTAGTTTGTGGAACGAATATGGAACCCTGAAGATGCCTAGGAGCTAGTGAGTTCATGTATTACCCACCTCACTCCAGCAGGAAGCAGTAGTAAGATGCTTAAGGCTTACCCATCCAAGTTACCTGGGGCTTTTCTAGCCACTGTGAAAAGAGCAGCCACAAACATTGTTATACAAGTCTCCTACAATAGGAAGAGTCCTTTGGGTATATGCCAAGGAGTGGTATAACCGGGTCATATGGTAGGTTCATTTTTAGTTTTTTAAGAGCTCTCCACACTGTTTTCCATAGAGGTTGCATGAGTTTGCAATCCCACCAGCAGTGAATGAGCTTTCCCTTTTCTCCACATCCTTGAGAGCATTTAGTATCATTTGTTCTCTTGATCCTAGCCAGTCTGGGGTAAGGTGATACCTTACATAGGGTGATTTTAATTTTCATTTTGCTAATTATTAACGATGTTGAACACTGTGCTGGATAACTTTAGTGTCAACTTGACACACCTGGGTTGAGGGAGCCTCAGCTGGGGAATTTCCTCTATTGGACTGGCCTGTGGCCATGGCTGAGGGGCATCTTCTTGATAAGGGATGTGGGAGGGCAGCCCACTGTGAGTGGTGCCACCCCTGGGCAGGTGGGCCTGTGTTGCATAAGAAAGCAGGCTGAGCAGGGGCCAGAGGAGCAAGCCACTAAGCAGCTTTCCTCAATGGCCTGCGTTCCAGCTCCTGCCTCCAGGTTCCTGCCCTGAGTTCCTACCTTGGGCTCCCTGATGAACAAAAAAAAGAGCAAATCAAAATCAACAAAATCAGAGATGAAAGAGGAAACATCACAACAGACACCCAAAAGATCCAGACCATTATAAGGGACTATTTTAAAAACCTATACACTACTAAATCTGAAAATCTAAAAGAAATGGACAGACACCTAAGTGAAACAAAGAGATCAATAGTTCTAACAGACCCATACCATGTAAGGAAATTGAAACAGTAATGCAAAGCCTCCCAACTGAAAAAGGCCAGGCCCAGATGGATTTACAGCGAATTACACCAGATATTTAAAGAAGACCCCTAACAGATATTTAAAGAAGACCTCCAATCAATACTACTTAAATTATTCAAAATGATAGAAACAGAGCGAGAACTCCCAATTTCCTTCTATGAAACCAGCATCACTCTAATACCCAAACTGGGTAAAGACAAAACCGAAAAAGAAAACTATAGACCCACATCCTTAATAAACACAAATACAAAAATCCTCAACAAAATACTTAAAGCGAACTGCATACAGACACACATGAAAAAGATCATTCACCATGATCAAGTAGGCTTTATCCCAGAAATGCAGGGATGGTTCAATATATGCAAGTCAATAAACATCATTAATCGTATGACTCAAAGACAAAAACCACGTTGTCATCTCAATAGATGCAGAAAAGGCTTTTGACAAAATTCAGCATGCATTTATATTCAAAGTCCTAGAGGGAATTGGACTGGAGGGAACATACCTCAACATAATTAAAGCCATATATAACAAACCCACAGCCAATATCATTCTAAA